CTCTAGAATAACTTGTCAATGACTTGGACCTGATCTCGTGGCAGCGGCCACTGTCGCGACACGCAATATTTCGAGCCGGGCGTGAGGACGATCTCTGCTTGAGTACGAGGAAGGAACATTCGGACACTGACGCACAATCGAGCTTGCAATCCCACCTCGAGAAGCGCAATCGATTACCCTACTTCCAAGCCTCTCTCGGAAGAACTTCTTTCGCAATCTCAAAGACAGTGACATCGAACTGGTACGCCTGATCACCGACGCTGAATTCAGCGTCGTCCGGGCTGAATACTGTCATCGCTGACAGTACCTCACGGCCGAAGAGCGCTGAACTGAAGTCGGCACGCGATGAGTGTTTTGCAGTGTAGTCGTGGGAAGCGCATCTCAAATCAAGTAATCGAGTGTACGGGATCGCCCGCGAATATGCCGACGTCTTACCAGACAAATTGCAGCTGAGCTGCCAGCTGATCGGGTAATTCGCCACGACCGACTCCGTCGGTGAGCTGTCACTGGACACGGGTTCGCGACGGGGATTCAGACGTCGATGCTTAGCTTTCTTCTTTCATCGACTTGAGTGCAAGCTCGAGGATGAGGAATCTCGGACCTTCGTTCCATCCCGCGCTTACTGACCCTGGCCGATTTTTTTTTTTTTTTTGCTGAACGGCAGGAGCGACCGGCGCAACGACGTGCCCTGCGAGAGCCATTGCGTTAGCGACGGTTTGACGCATCGATTGCGTCGATCTCCATGAGCTCGGAAGCCGTCTCTCGAGCTGACGCAGATAGCGTACGGGAATAATATGACACCACCACGTAGTCCTCGCGGAGCGCGAGGGAAAATGTTCAAGCGTGGAAGGCTCAGCACAGGTGGGGCAGTAACGTTCCATGCCATCACGCATTCACGAACACGTGGACTTGAGAGACCATGTCTATACGTTTGGTTACGATACACGACGTAGTGGACATCGCGCCTTGCTGAAGTGCGAAGAAGTCGGCTTGAATGCTGGATTCATCTTATGACGGCACGAAGGCGAGCCTAAGATCGCCCTGGAGCGCTTCCAGGGTGTTGGGACACAACCAGCTTGCCCATCCCTTAGCATTCCCGGACAGCCAGGAGAGAAAAATAATGACTTTTGGCGATGGCAATGTCAATCTCTCGGAATCGCCAGTTCAACGGAAAACGATCTTCGCCAAGGCCGGAGTAGGTCGACGCCTCTAACTTCGCGACGTTGTCCTTGGAGACACGCGAGGGAGTTGACACTCGCCGATTCACATCGGCGAGCTCGCGTTCCATGAACTCTTGTGCCGCGAGACGCTGTTGATCGTGAGTCGCTGAGCGTAGCAGCGACGTGACGATACCTTCACCAGACACCAACTCGAGGCGGTGGAAAGTTTCCCACTCAATACGAGTGAGATGAGGGAAAATAGCGTGGTCGAGGTCTTGACTCATGTCGAACTTGGTCATTGGAAGGAGTACTAAGTGCTACCATGTGTAACGGACCAGGTGTGTGACCCGTTGCTAGCTTACACGTAGTGGTGAAGAAGCTTATGGGTACTTAAACAAAGAACCAAAACAAGGGAAAAACAAACCCGGTTTTATTTAGAGCCAGGGCGGCTGCCGCCGGTCTCATGTGAACCTCTCAAATGATAGTCGTCACATGATTGAGTGATAATGGGTCTGGCTCCCATTACCAATAAATCACATAACGACGACTACGCACACGCTACCCGAGCGCCACTTTGCCTACTCGTGTAACATCTAAAACTAAACTACTTATGTAACTGGGGTGACCCGTTACATGTATCTTCATGAGACTTGGCTGTTACCGTGCCGTCACATCGTGTATGTGCGCAGGAAGTGCAAGTACAAAAAGTTATTCCTCCGATGAGCATATTTCCCACACGGTCACATCCCCATCAACAACATAGCCGAGAGTGGAGTGCCGTCAGGAGGACTCAAGTTGCTATCGTCAAGCCCAGCAGTAACGAGAGAACTGGCCAAATCCACTTCGGTCAAAAACCAAGAGACAAAGGCGTTGACTGAAAAAAAATGCCTTTATTATGACGTTACTCTCTACGCCTATGTACAATGCTTACTAATGGCTCGAGGAGTTTTACAATGCTCTTCACAACGGACAAGTGGTTGATTTTGTGCAGAGTCAGCATCCGCTTATCCTGGTCTATCCCAACTCTCGTCGGTCGGCAGCACAAGGCACACACAACCATCGTTTCTCAATGAAACCCATTTGTGTGACGATCCCTCGTCCAAAGACCGAGAATACGATTTCTCAAGCCGTGTGAATCAGGTTGCTCCGACGTCTATCGTGGCGGATAATGATATCATTTCTCAACCAGAGAGGCTGAAGATGGGTCCGGT